CTGCTCTTCTGTCCCCTCTGGCCAGCCTAGCCAAGTGTTTCATGGTCACTGCTTTGTTTCAAGGAAACTCTGAGAAGCTGCTGTGTCCCATATGAGGCACACGGCATTGTGGCACAGCTCATCAGCTCCACTCTCCTGCACTTTCTTGCATTGAACCCAAAGGCTGCTGCTTTCTCTCTTCAGTGCCAATTGTTTCTTTAAATATGAAGAAATGAGGAAGGAACTCAAAGGACAGTCAGGGCAATAAATCAGTGAATGAATTTTGGTTTCAGTGTAAAGTGATGTACAGCTGGGACAGGGAGAATGACAATGCTGACTGTTACTCTGATGATCACATGAAATAATGTGCTCTGACTGATCATTACTGCAGAAGTGAGATCCTGAGCTTGTTGAAGTTTCTAGCTGAGCTGAAAACCAAACAGAGAACATCGTTTTGCCAGTGATAAAGCTGTGGTGCATCTGCATGTGGTCTGTTGTGTGCACTTTGCATGCATAGGCCCTCCATTTCAAAAAACATGAAGTATAACTGAAAAGATTCAGAAAAGTTCGATATGGACTGACAGATGCCTGGACAGCTTGCCTAAGGAGACAAATGAAGCAAGCTCTGACTGTAACCTGGAAAAAAGACAACTAAGATAGGATCATAGATGCCTATAAAGTCAGGAGTGATGCGGAAAAGGTGACTGGGGATCAATTGTTCACTGTGTCTTCCAGTGCAAGAATCAGGGGAGCTCTAAAAGTATGTAAAGGTAAGCTCTAAAGAGGCAAATTAAAAAAAAAAAAAAAAAGGAAAATAAATGTTTCCTTGCACAGTACCTGTCTGAACTCTGTAGCTGTCTTGCTACATGCTCAAAAGCAAACTGGGCGGACTCCTGGGCCTGGGACAGTGCTGAGCTGGTATCACTCTGTATGACAGCTGATGAGTTGGGGTTCCTGGAAACCACGCACAAATTCTTGGTCGCCTCCACTCCCTATCTTGGGATGCAAAAGTGGGTGCCATCACCTCTTACCTGAGACTGGAGACACCCTACCATGCAGCACTGAAAAAGAAGCTCTTCTGGGTGCTGCAAGAATTTTAAAAAAGCAGATTTGGCAATCAGCAGTATCTTCCAGGTAGCAAGCACTACTTTACCTTTCTCAGCTGTCCCTCCAGATGGCAGTGGTCTGGTCAGGTGTCTGTCCTCACCTTTTGCCTTTGCTGCAGAACGGCATAGCCCAACATTGTTCCCAGACAAGTGGTCTTTCATCCACTTGTCCGTCCAAACTCCCATCCAGCCTAGGACCACGTGACTGCCTATTGCTGTTATTCCTCTCAGCAGTTTTAGTTGCCCTGCACCACAAAAATACTTCATTTTTGTCATTGTAGGTGAAACCTTGTAGTAGTTTAATCTTTTCTCACACCTTTCATTCTCTTGGATCCCAGGCCAAAGGTTGCTTAAGCATCAGTGTCAAATGGGCTGAAGTTCAATGTGCTTGGAAGGAAAGAAAAGAGGTGGGATAGAAGAATTGTCTTAAATAGTTTGATGTGACTAGTTTTCTTTTAAGAATACTTTGACTTGAAGGATTTAAGAAAGGTAGCTGAAAGCTGGTGAGGGAATGATCCCATGGGTGTAGGGTTACTCCACTTGAGCTTAGGTTTAAATTTTCTTTTAAATGTTAGCAGTCAGGAAAACAGTGGCTAATCAATACAAACACCAAACCCTGGAAATCTGTGCTTGTCTGTCAGCATCACACAGGCATTTTTAAGTGTGGTGCTCAATGCCCTGCTAGCAAGAGGAACATTCAGTGTATGTTTGGTTTTGCTTGTGGGGAGTTGGAGATAAAAATGTGCATTGCGGGTGGGTTTGGTCACTCTGTCCTGCAGCAATCTGGATGTAAGTCCCAGAGTGAGCAGGCAGCAGGGCTCAGACTGGGGCCTTCCTCATGGAAGGGGGAACATTTGTAGCTAGGCTTGGCCTCTTTTAACAGTGCATACAGTCATCTTAGTTCTGTCAGAGATAATAGACCCAAAACTTTATTCATTTAAAAAGCATAAAGCATATACTTTATTCCTTCATGTATAATGCTGCTTCATAGTTAGGATTATTTAGCTTATCCATTACCTCAGTTGTCTGAGGACACACTGTAAAAAAACTGTAGAGAAGGCATTTTAGGCTATGTGGATGACTTCAACATAAGGAAAGCATGACTAAGGGCTGAGAGAATGTGCAGTGAAAATTACCCTCTTTAGGCTGAAGAAAATTCCCAGAAAAACCAGGCACACGGGAAATGCTGGGCTCTTAACACAGCTGCTTGTACAACGTTTGTGGACAGAAAGCCAGCCCTCTATAAATGCATCATATTTTGGGATGTATCTGATAGAAAATACAATCAAAGGACCTTGCTTTTATCTCCTTTTCTCTGCCCTGGAGTCAGTCTGGCCAGGCACATGTACCTAATGACTTCACATAATAGAAATACAGAAAACCACATGGGTCTGCAGAGTGCCCTGATGGTGTGGTATTGGTGCATTTCTGCTGCCTCCAGAGCCTCCCTGTGGGGCAGGTCTGGGGTGTTACTGCCTGGGCACTCTCTCAAGTAAGTGGTTTTTGAAATTTTACTGCAACAGTCAGGCATAGTTATAACAGTGATGAAAGCTTGCAAATATGATTTTCTTTTTATCTTAAGAGCTGAGGAAGAGAGTAATCTTGTGTTGTCAAACCTCCAGTTAGTAATAAAAGCTTTCTTGTGGTGTTGTTCCAGCTAGCTGAGATCCCAGTCCCACTATCACAGCTGTGTCCTCAAACTCCTGTGCTGCTTTGTCTCACTTTCTCACTCAGGTTTTCTGATTTGTTTCTGAACTAATTCAGCCACCGTTTGTGTGCTTTTTAATATTGAAAACAATCCTTTTAGCGTGCCCTTGGCATCATCTCCCGGGCTCCCCAAAGCTGGTCCTTGAGGCAGTAGGGCCCTGCCACTTGTCCTTTTTTTCTGCTTGCTGGTGTACTTCCCACTTCAGCATTTTGCAGAAGCAAATGAATGGGAGACTTGTCTTTACCCTTCTGCTTAAGAATTCTTTCATAATTTCATATGGAAGCATTTCACAGTAATTCACAATATATTTCTGATCTTCCTACAGAAAACCTACAATATCAGAATTCTGTTTCCAACAAGGAGTGGGGAAAGAACAACTGTTTGGGATCTTAGTGAAATCCAGACATAGTGGCTTTTCTTCTACTGATACATGTATTTTAGTGCAGATTTAATAAGTGTTCCCTTAGTCAAGACTTAAAAACATCATATAGGAAGGAACAGGGAAACTGCAGGTAGAGGACATGTCTGCTGACTCTGGCTATCAGGTAGAAGAGCCACACTTGAAGGTGCAGGATGTCTGCAACATCAAGGAAAGCAGAATAAAATTCATCTTGGCAACATAACAGAAACAAAATTATAAAAAAATAAATAACTGTGCTAAGCACATGAAAATACAAAATTACATCTGGTGAAGTAAAGGTGCAAGGATTTTTGCCCAGAAAAACACATTAACCTTTTATGGAGGTAGATGTGGCCTTGGGAACTTGGGAGAGTTTCATAACATGAGAAGGAACAAGAAATGACAATCTGATAACACTTCCTCAGGAATGCATGGCATTCTTTGTTGTGAGTTTCGTATTCTCCACGGGATGTGGATGACTCAGGATAGAACATGAAAAATGTAGACCTATAAGGGAATTACTTACCATAGGTGTGGGCAAGCATGAGATCTGTGTTGCTTCCCAGTATGTTGTGTAGACCCTGTTATAAATCAGCTACATGTAGTATTTTGTTAATGAATGAGAAGTAGTAGAGAAGAATGACTCTGGAAGCAACTTAATGACACTTAACTGTGCCTAAAATTGAAGTCTGCTTTGTACTGTGGGATGTAAATCTCTGAGTTCTTCCTGAGAAGGGAATTTAGTTGAAAAATCTTGTTAACAAAAGACCAGGTTTTTCTAAAGATAATATTAGTGTGAATATTTTAAGCTGGAAAAAAAAGCTTTTTCTTTCTGTTTGCATCTTTGCATGTATGTACAATATATGTGGGAGCACAGGTGGGCTGGGGGAGAAATGGAAACACTAGCAATTTGCTTAGGCTTTCAGTAGAACCAAAGTTTTGGACTTTGAGCCTTGTTCAGTTCTGTGTTGTTCTTGGTCTTTGTGAGGCTGAAGCTGATGTAAAGCTGGAATGCTACAACTGGGAGTCAGGCATCTTGTCTTCAGGCTTTTCCCATCCTTACTAAAATGGATCTGATCCAAAACATGGGATTGCATGCTTGTCGTGTCCTGAGAGTCTCTGTCTCTGAAGTTCCAGCCAGCCAGGGTCTACGTTTGTGTATGAGCCGTATATTTATACCCAAAGCTCTGCAGCCCAGCAGCTCTCCTGTTGCAAGGCGGGCATTGTGCTGTCCCCTTGGGAGCGAGGATTAGCGCGGACGTGCCTGCTCGCTCCCCAGCACAGGTGCTTAGTGAAAGAGTAACTGCCTGCAAGGCAGAACAGAGGTCCTTGAAAAGAATTAAGATTGGGCTGATACCCTAGCTGGGAACCATTCCTGTCCTGTTTGGTTTAATTCATACTCATCACATAAATACTGAACAATGGTTGCTTTTTTTTTTTTTTCTATAGGTGCTGAGCACCTATAGTCTCAATCAGTGTCAGGAGCAGTTTTGCATACTCAGTGTGCAGTCCTCGAGGAAAAGACCCCACAGAGGATGCTTACCAAGTACCCTGCTTAATCCTGCTACTTGCAAGAACCATTGCACAAATTATTTTTTTTCAGTTTTCTACTGCTCCTTTCAGTTAGGTTTAGTAGATTCTCCCACAAAGGCAGAGATAAAAGGAAATATCTGTACTTGCTGCATAGCAAAATGGTCCTTGACTGCTTTGGCAATCACCATTAGCTATTTCTGAAGATTCTGTTCTCCAGTTACTTTGGGACTGCTACTGTTTTTGATCTAAACAGCTGCTCTTTGTCTCCTGGCAGACCATGCAACAGATGAGCGACCACCGCTACGACAAGCTGACAGTGCCTGACGATGCCGCAGCAAACTGCATCTACTTAAACATTCCCAGCAAAGGGCACGTCCTGCTGCACCGAGCCCCCGAGGAGTACCCCGAGAGTGCCAAGGTGAGAGCCCCCCCGGGCTGCCAGCGAGGCCCTGGCAGCTCCCTTGCTGCAGTGGGATGTGTGTGAGTGCCACAGCCAGAAGGCCACGTGCACCGTGAGTGTTCCTGTTCATTAACAGTGGTGGGATGGCGTGGCACCTGCTGGCAAATCCATGTCTGTTCGTTCTGTAAATACTTAGAGAGAAGGGAAAACAGAGGTGTAAAGTGTAATGATTTTTCCCTTACATTTTCTTTCCTGAACAGGTATTTGAAAAGCTGAAGGACCACATGCTGATCCCAATAGCCAACACAGAACTGGCGAAAGTAGATGGGGCACTCACCTGTTGCTCTGTGCTTATTAACAAAGCTTCAGAATTATGAGTTTACAGAGTCCCTCCCTTGTAACTGGCAATAATGTTACACACAAGGTAGACGAATCTGTATCCACACTTTTATTGTTTTTATTGACAATCTACTGTACCACTGTGCTACTAACCCTTGTTTACAGATTTTTTGCATTGTGAATTTTTATTATGTCCTTGCAGGTGGTATTTAAGGTGGATGTAGGGTTTGTTGGGAGCACATAACTCTGAAGTAAGTTAGTCCCATGGGCTAGCAGAAGACAATTATAATGGCTAACCCTTAGCTTTAGTGATTTAACATATCTGTGTGAAAATTTCATGAAACTCAGCTGATATTCTCAATATTTCAAGCACCTCTGTTGTCTTTACACTGTTCCCTTCCATCTTCTTTTCTCTTGCTTCCTTGCTCTACATGTTTTTTTTCCTTCCTCAGTCTTCTACTTTCAGTGGTGCAAAGTATTAGGGAGACTGAAGAAAACGCAGTGAGCTCATGAACGTTGTGTGGTAGGGAAGCTTTCCATACACTACAGGCACAGTGGGCAGTGGATTGTGCTCACAGTCCTGGCCACATCACAGTGCTGCTGTGACAGCCACAGAGTTCTGGCTGGAATCCATTTCAGACACCAGGTACCAGCTTTGGAAAAGCTTCCTCTGATGGGAGTGTTCAAGGGCAATGACTGCCTGGGAAACGTGAATGACAGAAGAAGAGAGTAGTGCAGCCACACGAGTTGTCTCCTGCAGTTCAGGTCCCAGTTTCCTGCTAAGACCATGACTTTCAATGTGGTGATAATGGGAGAGGAATTTTTAAAAAGGCCAGATCCTAGGAAGCCTCTGGACCACAAAAATTAAATGCAGAGATGCAAAAGAAATCTAAAGTATGGGGGATTTAAATCTCTTTGTTTACATCTTAAAATTTGTTTCTCCTTTCTGTTTTCTCTTAATTTGGAGGCCACTTACTAGCAAAATTCAAAAGAAAAGGGTGATAGAAGTAGTTGAAGGACAGCTATTCCTGGATTATGCCATGAATAAGGGAAGCTGTTTTTTCCTGGAAGATTGTCATTTTTTCTTTATCTGCCCTTGGGACAGTTTTCCTTGGAACAATAACAATCTTCTATTTTTTTAGTGGCATGAATATTCACTGTGGTATTCATTTAAGGCAAATACAATTTTTGTAGCAAATTCCTCACCATGTTTACCCACTGAGTCATGGCTTTTTTTTTTTTTTGTCGCCACTGCAAAGTGAAGCACACAGCATTGTATTCACATGCTTCTTGTTAAATCATTTGTAAACTAAGGATGGGAGCAATTCCCAAACAGAGGCAGTAGTGGGAACTCTCCAGAGACTGACAAATAGTCTGAACATGTTATCAGCTTCCTAGACATCTCCTCCACCTTTCCTGAACCACTTGTGGCGTGTTGCTGAGGCACAGTAGGAAGCGAGTGAGGGGGCTTGGGCAATGTGGTCTGCAGGAAAGCAAACAGAATTAACCAGATGCCCACTGGGATATCCTTTGGAAAGCTGTGTGCTGTTTTGTGCAGCCATAAGAGAGGAAACACAAGTACTCATGCTTGTAGGCTCTCTCTGGCACATCTCACACTGCATCTCAGTGGTAATGAGAGGAAAACCTCCTGGCAGCTACCAGAGTACACCTGCTGCTTCGTGGGTGCTCTGTTTGTTGTGATGACACGACGTGGGGAAGAGAGCAGTGATGAGTGAATATATTGTATGTGTAAAGAACATGTCCCAGAGAAGTTCTTCAGCCAGCCAAACAGCAGGTGGGGTTTTTTTTTCTAGTTATGATTCTCCTGTCCCAAAGGGTGATCCTGAAGTTCCCTCTTTGTCTCTTCCATTCCCATGCACCATCAATTAAACCTGAGCCAGGTGATCAGGCTCTCAGGATGTAAATGTTGCAGTGGGGAATGTTTTTCTGCCTTCCCTTGGTGCTTTTTAAATATTTGATAAAGTATCACACATTTCAAAATAACCTGACATTAAACAGAGATTTTGTGCCAAAAAGTGGCCCTGCAGTATTGAGCTGTGAGCTCCTAAAGGCAAGCTGTGCTCTGTTAAAAACCTGTGCAGCCGTGGGAGCTGACAAAGCTGAAAGAGCCCCCCCATCCTGACTTGTGCATGTGCCTCCTGGGGCTACACTGGGAGAGTTAGGCTGTAGGATTTCAATTTTATTGTTAAATATTTCTCTAGTCTTTGTTTTGTTTTTTTTTTTTTCTTCCTCCACCCTCTCTCACCTGTCTCCTTCCTCAGACTTTCATTTCTAGTTTGCTCATCAAGGCATGATGAGCACTTTTCTTGTTTAATCCCAAGTGATTTTACCTTCTTGCCTCAGTTCTTACTTGAGTCTTTTTCTTCATTTCTCTTTCTTCACTGTTCACTCCACAGTATCCCAAGCCATGATGGACTATCCTAAACTCACTCCCTCCTTGAGTAGGTGCCAGGAGAGAGGAAAAACTGAGGGAATGCCTTGGGTCTGAGCAACTTCTTTTGAGCTAGAAGGATGACAGTCAGAAGGAGCTGTAGATCCAGAGAGGAACAAGGGTGACTCCTCTTTTTAAGACTTCTCCAGAAAAAAAGAACCATGTCTGCTGACACTGCTGTTACCCTGTGTCCTTGAAAGCTGTAAAACATGTGACAATGAATTTCTCTGGTTCCCTAGGGGAGGGAGAGGAGGAGTTGGGATTTCAGAGCTGAGAAACAGCTGTGTAGACAGCGAGGTTGGTTTTTCATCTCTTGCCATTTAGGTTTCTTTGGTTTCAGGGCTGCATTTTGGTATACAGAAAGCAAGAGAGCAGCTGAGGGATCTGAATTCCTTCAGTTGCTGTTATTCAAAATGTCTAACTTCAGGCACAAAATTGAGGTGCTCTAAAACTACACCTGCTTTCTCTCTCTTGGCCTCACTAGGAGTCACAGCCTCTTAACATAGATGCTCTAAGTTACATCTTAGTCTGATGCCAAAAGTTACCTAAGCTGGTTAGTGGGATCGCCCTCACCTCACAGCTTCTCCTGTTAATCTTTATTCTGGCATTAGAAAGAAAAATATTATGAACACTTCAGTTTATGTATTTGCAGTATGGTACTAAGAACTAAAATCATGCCAAATGCTTCTTGTTCTTGCTGTTTGCTGTTTATTTTTCTGTTGCCCACACAAAGAATTCAGTTGTGAGGACATTTCTGCAGTGACACATGTGCATCTAATGCATGTCCTGTGCATTTTGTCACCAGAACATTTCTCAGATGCCTGATGTAAATCATCATCCTTGATTAATATAAATAATAAAATAAAATCCCAAACCAAAAAAGGAAGATGAGACACTGAACACTGATAGTTGCCCACATAAAACTCTTGATAACAGCTGTCAGGCTGTGTGACAGAGCAGACCCGTACAGCAGTTCTTGTGGTAATAGCTCAGCAGTGGGGCTTGAATTACTCATCAAAGGATTTGTCCTTTCAGCAGTCAGTTTGGCTCAGTTGAAATAAAAGAGCCAGAATGTGCAGTATAGATATTTCATGGATGTTATCTTTGCTAAGAGTTTAGGGAGATCTGTGATATGTGGGTTTCTTTCTTCAGCAGAATGTGAATACAGTGTCTCTCTCTGTAATGAAAATGTGAATGCATACTGTACCTTATGAGATAAACTTGAACTCTTCCATTTATGTATTTTTGTGTTTACCATGCTAATATTCAGTTTTAAATAGATGCCACTGTGTAAAGCTATGCTCTTGATTTTTTTGGTGATTTCCATGTGATAGGAATAGAGCTCATAGGCAACACTATGTCCAGTTTTGAAAACAAAAAGCCAGTATACAGAATGCTGTTTGTTCACAGCAAATTGGAAAATACAGAAAAAAAGAGCTTTTGATTTTGTTCAGCTTCATACATGTTTTATCAATGAAGTCAGAGCCAAATTAATAGAAAACATCAACATCCACATGGAGCCATTTGAGGAAAATAATTTACTATTTAAGATTGTCTATTTTTGCTTTTATCAATAAGGAAGCTGAAAAGATAAGCCTGCTTAAACAATGGTATTTGTTAAGTGATTGTGAACAAAGTATCAGTGGACCTCATGTATTTTCAGAGAAGTTTTAACTGGACGTGTGATGTAAATTGTATGGAGTTGTATGTGAATGTGTTAGTCACTGTTTTACATTGTATTGTTCTGCAGTGCACAAATGTGACTACTGAGCACAGAAGCATTACATTCATTAAACTTAATCTTGTTGCAGTATATAATTCCCCACTTTTTGTGCCAAAAACATTAATACATTCCATAATCAGTTCTAATAGAGGTTTGCACTTTGATTTAACTTTTTTTTTTGTGACTCTTGCAGTTTCAATACTATATATCTCCATCACGAAGGAATAAAGTGTCAGTTGTACCATACCCTACCCTGTTTAGTTTGTGCTTCTTGTTTTGGAACTGAAAGTATATGTATTTAATTTAGTACTGTTTCATGCTGTCTTTTTATTTCCAAGCTTATTACATACCTAGATGTAAAGCCAATTATAGACACTAGCACTAAAACCCTTAATTCTGTTAGGGGAAAATCTTGACTCTTTAAAAACAAATTATAATTTTAGACCCTACATTTAAGAGTAATGTGTAGAGAGGAGATACTGCCTGTGAGTGGTCATGGTTCATTTTATTGCTGTCCAAGGTAACAAAACAGATGTTAGCATAGTACAGTATGTTTCTCTGTGCTGCCTGCACTTACTGTAACTTACAGAAGGTGAAACTACAAAGGTTTGGTGGCATTCCCATTATGGTTAAATTATTCACACAGCTCCTGTGTCTTTTCTCCCCCACAATCTCAGGAGAGGCGACTGCACTGCAGGCACTGCTTTGAGGTAACCTGACAGATAATTGCATGCGTTACATCTAAGCACTTCTGCTGAGTCTGCAGCCTGCTCCTGGGGCTGCTCTGTGCTTGCACCCTTGGCTCTGATGCCCGAGGTTTCAGCACTGGGATCCAGGAGCTGGGAGCCCCTGCAGTGTGTGCCAGGGCTCGTGGGCCATCAGTGCCATCTCCTGGAGCCCAGGGGTCAGTGCTCCAAGGCCTCAGTGTTGTTCTTTCAGCTTTTTAAGAAACCTAAGATAATTTAACAGAGTAGGAATTTCTTAATAAACTGTAGCAAAATAATTACATCACTTTCAAACTGTATTTTGCTAGTATAATAGGACTTTAAATAAACCATAATCTATTATTCTCCTTGCCAGAGAAGTAGGGACCAAGGATCTAAATACAGCCTTTATACTGATTTTACAACGTTGGTTAAAAGTATTATTTTTAACTAATATATTTAAATCAGTGCTGTGCCTAATGTGAATACATTTAGTGTGATGCAATTAATATTTTAACTACTTCATTTACATGTGTACCTGTGTCTACAGGAGAGAGTTGGTACCAATTTACTTGAATTTGTTTCTTAATGGCAGTGATTAAAAATTAGAAGAAGTTTCTCATGGAATATCAAACCTGAAAAAAGCAAAATCGTAGTAATTTAACAAGGAGTGTTCTTTGCAAAACTTAGTTGTAGGATATTACTTCAAGTAGAGATTTCTGCCTTTGAGTGTACAGAGTCAGTCCCCACTCTAAGTACATGCTGCTCCAAAAAATCAGTCACTGTCTGCTGCATCATAAAGCCCAGACATTCTGGTGCTCTCAACAACCTCACCCCCAAAATTCATGACCTGTAGGTTTATTGCTGTGGTTTAGTAGCAGAAACATGCCATTGATTGCTGCAGGTATCTGTTGAGTTTGGGAAGGGCCCTCGACCTGTAACTAAACCAAACTCCTTCCCTTCTCTCTGTCTGGCAGCTTCCTCCTCCTCCTCCCAGAGGAACTGAGCTCAGAGTCCCACAGCTCCCACAGGGGCTGGGCTGTCCTGCCAGCTCCAGAAGGGGCTTGTCCTGAGAACCCAGACCAGAGCCCTGAGCAAGGATCAGGAGAATGGGATGGGAGCACGTGAAACTTCCAGGGAGAGGCCCCTGCTCAGCAGTAAGGACATGCTGCCTGGAGAGGGCTTCATCAGTGAGGGCAGAGGGGGAAAGAAAGCCTGGAGCTGGTCACAGCTCTGAAAAGCTGACTGACCTCTTAGGAACTGTGACAGTGTTGCAACATTGTCTTCATCTTCACAGCGAGTTTTGTAGAAACCTCTGGGTTGTAAACAGTTTTCAAAATTTATTTTGGAAATTTTGTCTAGAAATTTATACTAGATGGACACTACATATGTATACATTCATACAGCAATGCAATGTCCAAAATCTTTCCAGCTGCCTTGAAGGAAATGATCCCTGGCTCACTTCTGACTATCGAGTGGCTGTGACTCTCCTGAAATGAGTTTTGTGCAGAGAGTAGCCTTCTTCCTGCTGCCTGCACCATTAAATCCTGGTAGGGTGTTTAGGCATTATGTCTGCTAAAATATATTCTGTTCTTGTACTCACTAACCCACGCTCCCATCCTGACTGCTGAAGTTAAATCATTCCAGTTTGTCTCCTACACGGCTCCGGAATCAGCAGCCTAGCCCTCCAGACATCACACGGCTTTGAACTGCACCTCTTGCTGAGCAAGGTTATTAACAAATGCTCTAAATCCAGAGTGCATGATAGATGTTTTTATCAGCAGTGTTGTATGGAGCCAGCAAAGCCCACAATATAATTCACCTTGAAGAGGAAGAGCTGAAAGGCATGTGATATAATAAACAAGGGTGGGAGTCAGGGGCTGGGAAGACGCCTGGCTCTGTTTCAGAAGTACCACAACCTCTTGGAAGCATCAGGGAAGCTGAAAGCTTTCCATGTATTTTGGGTGCATAGCACAGATCCTCCACAGGGAGGATCAATGTAGGCACTTGGGAAAAAATGGTCAGCCCTGCAGCTCTCTGAGCAGGAAAATGGGAGATAAATAGGTTACTTTGCAGAGACACACAGCTTTGAGAAACTCAAATGCGGTACAGCAAAGAAAGGCTTCTTGGGGTGGGAATAATGCACCGGGGCGGGGGGACGGGCCGGGCCCGGCGGCGCGCACGGGAGGGCGGCGGGGAATCTCGAGCACGGCTCTGCCCCCGGGGTGCCCCGGCTGGGGCTGGTCACGGCTCGCGAGCGCGTGTGGCGGGGCCCGGGCCGTGCCCGGTGCGCGGGGGCAGAGCCCCGGCCCGGCGTCCCTGGCGGTGAAGCGCGGCAGGCGGGAGGGGTAACGCGGTACCCAAACCTGGCTGAAAATGGGTCTGCTGCTCCGGGTGCCAGTAGGACTCCTTCTTAGAAAGCGTGCATATCTTCGTTAAGTGTACTTAGATATTTTTTTATTGAGGCTTATTGTTCTATTTTTTCTTTTTTTTTGGGTTTTCCCCTGTACTTATTCACTGATGTCTGAAATCTGAGGGAAGACTTCATCCTGATTCATTCTGCATTAATTTATCTTAGCATGAGGCTGGGAAGCAATGCACTAACCAACCTCAACAAGTGATTGCTTAATTTAAAAAAAAAGTAAAATCACAGTTTATCACTTATTCATTGCCTATCCATGGTCCTGTTTGTAATTTACAGTGTCTTATGTTTGATTAATTGGGGTTTTTTTTATGTTCTTTTAAAGTGCAGTGAAGACTTCTTGCAGTTTGTTTTTTGTTTCTTTCTAGCTTCATGCTTAAGTGATTTCCTTTAAATGCTTTGTCATAGTTCTGTGAGACATGTTTTTCAAGCTAGTACTCGTTTCCACAGGCTAATACTGCAACAGGTGCCATTGGGTAGTTACACCAAAAAAGGATAAAAGCTCCTTGAGTCAGACACTGTAGGTGTAACAGGACAGGTATGTTAGTCTGGGTCAGTGACTGAGCCCAGGGCTGCATCTCCCACAAGTGCATGATTGTCACTTTAGCCCTTGTCCTTACAGGTCCTTCCATTGGAGCAGAGAGGATGGAAGTAGGTAGAAACAAATAACAATCTTAGGTAGAAACAAATAACAATCTTAGGTAGAAACAAATAACAATCTTAGGTAGAAACAAATAACAATCATTTTATCATCAAAATGCAGTCCCATAAAGCTGGCTTTAGAGCTTCTGCACTCAGATTTTAAATGTGGCTTCACAACCGGCTTGGCTCTCTCAGGGCTGTTCTTTGGGTAACTTTGATGGGCTCTCTGCAAGCCAGGGTGCTGTGCTAGCAGAGGCACTGTGTGTGACAGGGGACAGCACAGCTCAGGAAGCTAAAACTGGTAAGGACAGCTTGGTCTGGGCAAGGTTGTCTTGAGGAGGATTTATAAGGTTTGGAGTCTTGCAGGTAAGAGCTGAGAAGGATGGGGGTGAGCCATATAAAATCATTCATACAGTGGAGTAGGGCTGCAAAAGACAAGAAGCAGCCACTCATGTTGTTGAGATTACATACATTTATGGATGAAAGTGCATGTATTTTGGATGTCAGTAATTTGTTGAACTTGTCGATAGTGTAAATAAATAGGTTTGAATTTTGTAAATAAATAAGTTTATTTACAAACCTTTTGAACTGTGAGTATGTTTGTGCTGTTGCTTTGAGACTGCTTTTGCTCAATGTACAGAAAACATCAATAACTGCAGTATTTTGGAGTTGTGCCTCAAGATACAACGGTATGGAAATGTGGCAATCAGATGATCAGTGAAAAGGGGTGTATTTGTAGACAAAGTGAGTAGGTGCTGTTTGGTACAATTTCATTTTTACTTGACTGTTTTGAAATGTGCTAACCTCAGGCCTTATGTAATCACATTTTCTATAAGTAGTCACCGTATTTCTTAACAAGCATTGGAACTCCTGAGTTCAGTCAAAGAGTTAATGAAAGCAATAATTATGTAACAGTTTTTTTAAAACATTTTTTACACTGAGAAAAATCTCAACTAAGTAACACAGCAGCAGCCTTAAAAGTTATTTTGCTGACCTGTACCAAAATCATGTAGGTTCCAGTTACAGGCCTCTAAATAACTGGAAATGCTGGCTAATACTAGTTTGTTTTGTCTTTCAGGCTTTAGAAAGGATGCGTCCTTACCTGTGTGATAAGATCATAGCCGAGAGACACTTTGATTACCTGCGTTCTAAGAAAATACTCACTAGGGAGGACACAGAAGAAATTTCAGCTCGATCTTCCAGTAGGAAAAAAACTGGGAAGTTACTGGACTACTTAGCAGAAAATCCAAAGGGACTAGATACTTTGATTGAATCTATCAGACGAGAAAGAACACAAAACTTCCTGTTACAAAAGATAACTGATGTAGTGTTGAAAGTCAAAAATGAAAAGCTTGAAGCTCTTAAAGGTAACAAACTTTTAATAATGTTGTGTAAAACATAAGTTTTATTTGGAAGGTCTGCAAAATTAAAATCCAAAACTAAAGTCTTCCTCTGGTATTTGGAACAACATGTTTGGAAAATTACCAGTTTGTGTTTAAGATCCTAGTGCATGTATCCTGGCTTTGCCTTTTTACTATCTGAACACATCCATCATAAATAACAAGTAGCAAAAAAAGCCCTGTTGTATTGCTATGATGGATAAATCTGTCTTCACATTTCAGTTTTGCTTTTCAAAAATGGGTGGTTATCGTCCATCTCGCATTTCTCTCCAAGCTATTTGCTGCAGTGGCAGGATGCTCTAGTTTGGTTAAACTTTGTGCCTCAGCAGAAGGTATGCTGGCAAATACAGCTTGAGGGGAGTTCCCCTGTATGCCTTCGGTGCCACAGCTTTAAAGTGGACACTGTAAATACATGTGTGTGTTTTTTCATACAGGCTCAGAGGTTTTGTTGACACTCAAACCTTGAAGGGACTGTGAGTACTCATATTTTAAGGCAGAGAAAGAAAGTATAGGCTTTGTACACCAAAGTGTTACTTCCCCTTCCACGCCCATCAGAAGGCAGATAAAGAAGGAAGAAGTATGTTTTAACCATAGAGGTTAAGGGCCTGAGGTTTGCTCTGGCTTCAGGTAAAATAGCCTTCAAATGCTGTCCACTTTGGAGCAGAACCAGCAGGTGAAGCTCTTAAAAGTTTGAAGAGCACAGTGAGAACAATCTAAAAAAAGTTGGGCCGAAGGGCTAAAGTGACTTTTTAAGATGAACTTTAAGTTACAGTGCATCTTTGTCAAGTACTATCTGGTACTGAGTACAGAGAAACCATTCACATCAGCCTCGACAACCTAACAAACCATGTTTGTTTTTTAATTTGTCAGGAATTCTGGATGTCACAGGTAAGATGAAGGGTTAGTCTGTTAAAAATATGGACAATTGATTTTTGACAGTCTTACTGATATTAAATTGGAGCACAGTTTAAGATGTCCCCATACTGTAATTAAATCCAGGATCTGGTTTTTTGTCTTAGGTTTAAGCTGCAGCACCTGTATGACCTCACTGTATGGAGGAACAAATAATCTTTCTAGATCATTTTCCGATGAATCAAATTTTCTGGATAAAACAAAAGACAAAGAATCTACCCAGATACATCACCCAGAAGAAGATTATAGCACGGCTGCATTTGTGTCTGCTGTCTCTCTTCATTCCATGAATTTACCAATTGCAGAGATGGGCAATTCACAGTGCAGTGTTTTCTCAGCCACCCTGCCAGGGCCTGGAGACCCTGGTGCACCCCCGCTGCCCCCAGAGCTCCAGGAAGAGCAGCAAGAGCCATGTACCAGTTCAAGTGACAATTGCTTTTTGCCTTTAAGATCACGTTCTGTTCATCCACAGTGAGTGCAGTGACTTTCATCTGTTCATCCAAATGGTACTGAAACTTTGTGGGATGTCTCATAAAGGCTAAAAAATGTTTTCAAACTGTTAGGAAAATTGGAGGATATAATCTATGCAATTTCTGTTTTAATTTTGTAATTGTGTGATGCTGGAGCTGCTTGACTTTTTTTGTTTTGTTTGTTTTGTTCTTTAGGGAGCTTTTTTCAAAATATTGTGGTGTTATACCAACAAGTATTTGGTTTTTAAACCAATGTGTATAAGATTTCACATTTAGTTGCGGATACTTTAGCTGGGATTATAGAACAAATGGGTTTTTTCTTTCTGCAGAAACTAACAAATCAGCTTTTCTTAATGTTTCTGTGATGGGCGAACTGGGAAAGATGGTTAGGAAAAGTACTGAGTATGGAAAAAATCTGAACTAAAACCTTAAGCTTACTTACCAAAAAGCTTAAACTCATTTACCAAGTTAAATATTTCTCACTAAGACAAATTCTGCTCTCCATGTATATGTGTGCTGCTCCATTTGCCAAAAATGGCCAAGTCTGTGCTTGTTAGCAAGGAGTTTCCTCCTTGAGTGGACTTTGTCCTACTGGTACATCAAAAGGCATCAGTATTGCCAATACACTTCTGCAGGCCTCAGCGTATTCTTCTTGTATGTTAGTTAAAGATTCCTGATTTGAGATGCACTTTAAATATAAATTCTCTTTAGTACTGGAAAAGGAATGTAAACTGCTCTAATGGCATTGTGAGGGCTGCAAGAAAACATTACAGGATGCTATTAAGGAGCAAAGCTTGTATGCTTTTGTCCCTCTAGGGAAGTGGAGGAGAAGCTGTGTGGCACAAAGTATGACACCTGAAGGACTCTTGGAAATATGGCACTTCAAATACCTCCTCTTCCAAGCAGACAGACAGGTTTACATTTCCAATTGTTTAGAGTCAAATGCATTTTAAACTGTTTCAACATGGGAAGGTTCTCATTTCTTGCCACAATGTAACTTACTGTATTCCTCTCATACTGGAATTGTAGCCTACCTTTTGTGCAGGTGCCTATAATAATTTCAAAATGACCTGGTGGATTCTTAATTTGACATGTACAGCTGTGTTCTGCAGTACTACACCTTAAAGTGATGGGATGTTTTCAGTATATCAGAGGGTAGGTTTGTATTAAAGGTCCTACATTATATTGGCTCTCGTACTGTGTATAGCCATGGAATGCCATTCCAATGCACACTGGGGTAATATTGCTAAACTCTTCTCCTTTTGTGGAGGCAGGCCACCTGCAGGACCTCAGTATAGTCTCTATAAATAGTTTTTCTCTATTATTCTGGTTTTGGAAGTAGATTAAAATAAAATGCCATGTTCAACTACACTCCATCCCGAGTATATGAACATCTTACATGTGAGAAAGATGTGCTTATAAAAATCCTTGTTTTTCTTGTCTGCATCTACCATCATATACTGTCCAAACACTGGAACTGCTTCGATTAAATGGCATTCTGGAAATTAAGTGCCTGAATATGCAAGCCAAACTTTGTTCTTTAACATGAAATTAAGGATAGGATGAACTCCCTCTCTTCCATTAACTTGAATTGTAGTTGCATGTACTTGGGACGTCTAGAAAGTGATTTGTGTAAATGCCCACTGTAATCACTTAAAGAGCTGTGCTTAGGCTTGAGTCCCTTCCTGGGTTCTTGTAAAGAGAAGAGAGTGAGCAGGGCTGGCCTTAACAGAGAAAATGCAGCAGCCCAGGGTGGAGGCTGCCTTGCTGCTCCCCATCCTGCCCCGTGCAGTGTGCAGCCTGCAGGGACCACTCCCAGTGGAGCCGACAAACCTGAGACCTTGAGTGAATGTATTGTCTTTTCAAATGTCTATAATGTGCGTTTTTAAAACATATTTTTATCACAACTTTTGGAATAAATTCTTTTGTATAATTGGCTGGTTTTTGGTCTGCCTCTCATTTTTAAGATGTACAGGTTGCAAGAGCTGTTCATGCCATTACCTTGATGTGTGGTTTTGGTTTTGTGTGTGCGGGAGGCTTTTGTTCTCCTTGTCTTTTTAGAGACATTTGTCTCTGGTGGAAAGACTGACTGAATGTGAAACGCCTCTGCCGGTAGGACTGCACTGAAGAGCGAGCAGTCTGTAAGGAAAACATGCATGTGAAATCAACAGCTCTGCTGCTTAAGTAGTTTCTGCAGTTCATGACTACTATTACTAACCTGATTCTTGCTGTTTTCAAATGACTCTATTGCTCAACTTCCTACAGATGTGAGAAGAGTTGCTTCCAGCCACCCACATCTTGATTTCATTCTTAAATTAAGATTTTTATTAATAGCAGGGGAGAAACAAAAACTTTGAGTGCTGAGAAGCATGACTTAAAAAAGGATTTGCAAATACTGCAGGCACTGTGGTGTCTCACTTCAGTGGTTGTTTTCATTCTACTTTGTGTATAGGGCTTCAAAATAATGACATGGTATTGATGATGAGAGATCGGCTGGATATGGTTTAGTATCTTTACAGTGAAGGAAGTGATCATAGTGTAACCAAAACCCCTTCCTCAGATCTTATTCTGGTAGTATAAGTAGTTCTGGTAGTATAAGTAATCTGAACATAGAATCATGAAGTATGCTGAGTTTGAAGGGACTCATGAAGACCCCCGAGTCCAGTTCCCAGCGCTGCACAGGACATCCCCAAGAGTCACACCCTGTCCGTGGGAGTGTTGTCCAAGCTCTTGTTGAACTCTGCCAGGCTGGTGCTGTGAGCACTGCCCTGGGGAGCTGTCCCGTGCCCAAACACCCTCTGGGTGAAAAAGCTTTTCCTGATACCCATCCTCAACCTGCCCTGACTCAGCTCCATCCCCACTGAACAGCACCAGTATTTTAGCTGATGCAGTAATGTATGTATGACTCCATCACGAGGGAGGTCTAGTACAAACTCGGTCCAACAAATTTGAAAAATCTGTTTCGGTAAAGATACCTCCTGGACAGGTGATGATCAGCACTGTCTCTGCCCTAGGTTAGCCGGTGATCGGACATTAAGGAAAACGTGTTTTCCCTCCGCTTAGCCTGCAGGTGTGAAGAGGGAGCAATGAAGGTTGGCTGGGTTTCGTGCCTGATTTTCGGTGTCCGGTCCCTCGAGGGCAGGGCCCCGGCTCCGCCTTCCGCGGGCTGCGCTCCAGCCCCGCGCGGGCCCCGGGCCGGCGGCAGCCGCGGGCCGGAACCCTCGGCGCGGGCGCGGTTTCCGCGGGCGGTGCGAGGCGCGGCCCCGCCATGGCGGCGGAGGGGGAGGACCCGCTGGGCTATTTCGCGGCCTACGGCAGCTCCAGCTCCGACTCGGAGCCCGAAGAGCCGCAGCCCGACGAGCGCCCGGCGGGAGCCGGCGCGGCCTCGGGGGGCACCCCGGGGCGGCCGCGGCTGCCGCCGCCCGACGAGCTCTTCCGTCGGGTGTCGCAGCCGCCCGCCTTCCTCTACAACCCTCTCAACAAGGAGATCGACTGGGAGAGCCGCGTCCTGCGGGCGCCCGAGGAGGTGCGTGGGGCGCGGGGGAACCGGGGCGGCGCCGGGGCCGCCACGGGCCCCCCGGGCCGCTGTGACGGGCGCTGTGCTCTCTCCCGCAGCCCCCCAGGGAGTTCAAGGTGTGGAGGAGCAACGCCGTGCCCCCGCCGGAGACCTACAGCCCGCCCGAGAAGCCGCCGGGCCCCGCCCTGGACATGGCCATAAAGTGGTCCAACATCTACGAGGACAATGGCGACGACGCGCCCCGGCAGGCCGGCAAAGCCAAGTTCCTGCCGGACGAGGAGCAGGAGGCCCTGGAGTCGGGTGAGGCCCTGGCGTGAGGCGGCCGTGCCTCGGCGGGGGCTGTGTGCGCTGCCGGAGCGCGGCGGGGCGGGCGGGCTGCCCGTGCCCCGGGCCCGGAGCAGGCGCTGCGGGCTGCTCCTGCATCGCTGCTGCCCAGGGGCAGAGCGCTCCGGCTGCGGGGCTGGGTGCGCTGCCGTGCCCGTGGTTTGGCTTTTCTGGGTTCAACACGGAGCCTCCCCTCTGCTCCTCTCCCCCGCTGGCATTAGCAGGGAAGCATTAGAGTCGGTGGCACTGTAGTTCTGTGAAATCAACAGGTTCAGTCACGCTGCTGCTAAAACAGAAGGTGGTGTAAAAGCTTCAGGTGCTTTACACTGAGGTGTTGACCTTAGTTGTAGATGTAGGTCAGATTATTTCTATAACGTTTGCAAAACTTGGCTTCCAAAAGAGGAATCATACAGGATGCCCAAGAGATAGATTACTGAAGAAAATAGTTACTATCTTCTTCACTTTCTATGATTGTACAAGCTGTAACAGTAATTTAGGAAGTAAAGAAATATTTGATAGGTGGGAGGATTTTTTTTTTTTAATTGTTGGAGAAAGAGAATAGCCAACAATAACCAAGAGAAGAGAACCAGAAGAAGAAATTCTGGTCTTTCAGAACACACAATAATGTTTTCTTTCATTGGTAAAGTTGCCAACAAAGCTTTTCCAAAAGAAGGATTTTTTTGCTGTCTTGCCTCTTTTTTGGTTCTGGGTGTTCTTTCCCAGTAGCAGTTTTTATGTCTTTCTCCATGTGTTCTATGTGTTTCCCCGTCCATGCATTTCTCTTAGTCAGCCTTCATCCAGAGGAAGAAGATAAAACGTTAATTGGCATTATTTCCTGCTTCAAAAATGTCATTTTCTAGCTTTTAATAATTTGTTTAGAACAGGTACTGTACAGTAGCATAAAGCCTCTTTTCAGTTACCTGCAGTGGTTTGTGGCAGTGATAAGAAGTAACCTTTCCTGTTTTGTCCACATATTGTCTGCATTCCAAAAATGAGGATGCTACAGTGTCTTTTTTCCAGCCATCTCAGATGTGGTTAAGTCAGTTGTTCTGAGACAGGGTGGTGTTTAAGCAAAAAATTGGCTTTGCTGACTTTGATTAACTCTTTCTTTTATTTAAAGATGGTGAAAAAGACGATGAACCAGCTTCTGCTAAGAAACGTAAAGTAGAGTCTGGAGAACAGGCAAAGAAGAAGAAGAAGAAGGTATAAGCAGGGCATTTTGGATTTAGACATAATGAGAATTTCAGGGAACTTGGATTCCTCTGCTGGAATGGGAAACAAATAAGTGTTTACTGCATTTCTCTCTCGGGTAGGGAATTTTATTTCTGTGTATGCTTGCCTTTTGGAAAGCACAAAATTAAGTGGACAGTGTTGTCGTAGAACTTGTTTACTGAACAAAATTTAAACCTGTTTATTTGAAACAAGGATTTAGATGAAAGATCCATTGCCATGGATACTTGTGCTCATGCAGGTTACAGGGCTTCACAGTATTTTGTTTATCAAGAAACCTGGTAACATGCATTTTTCTGGACTGACTTTTCCATTGTGTCAAAACCTTTTATAAAGGAGTATATACTAAAGATTTTTTTAGGTACTGGTCTGTGATATGTTCACATAATGTTGTTTTTAAATATATGTATAGACTGCAAATAGTCACTGGAATAAAACTACATTTGAAAACATCTGTGGTATAAATATTGCATTGCATGCTTGGTGAATAGGAGCAATGAATTCTGTATTATATGCCATTCACTGATGTGTGACTTAACAGATTCCTCAGGGTTTTTTTGTTTAAATAAATACAGAACTACGAACTGAAAAAAAATGTACCTAAAATTGAGTTTAATATTTCATCATTATTTTGATGTTACGGGATCTCCATCAGTGAAATGAGACCAACTGATGGAGGGAGGATTGAAGCATGTAATGTGTTCTTCCTGAAACAGAAAATAGAATCAAGATATTTATGTGGACAAAAATTATGACAAAGCTGTGGTAGAGTCTTTGCTGCCAAATTGTATTTATTTCAGTACAAACAGTTGGTACAAACAGTCTTCTCAAAGTGCTAGCCAGTATATGTTGCATTTGTGGTATGCTGCTGAATGGGTTTTTGGGTCTGTATATGACAAGGTACCAGCTTGTACTGGATTGGAGAAAAGGTTGCTGTGTATTTTCAGATAAAGATTCTGTGCCTTAGAAAATCTGCAGTGAGATTAGTGCCTGCTAATAGAAGTTCATGTAATTAAATTGCTAATGTAAAAAATTTGTGTTTTCTATTTTCCTTCTGTCTTGGACTAGCTTTACTTTGGCAGACCAGATTCTGTATACATATGTGCTAATATAATGTTAATATTTTTAAAGTGATTTTAAGAGGTTTTTTTTAACCTCAATATATAGAAAAGTGTATTCATTTTCAGTGAATATATGAAGTTGTTAAGAAGTTATGCAATTCTAGCCTTGGCAGTGTGATAATTCTTACTCTGGATCCTTGTCTGCCTGCAGACTCTGCAACTGCTCCTTGCCTGTTTCACAGGCTGTGGGGCCAAATCTGTGATACTTGACACAGCTGAGGGCTTCCTGGTGCAAACCCAGACACCAGCCACTGTCCTAGCAAGCTCCAGGATGAGGGATCCTGTCATGGCAAAGCTTATGGAGTGCCAGCTCTCTAGGGTTTCTCCAAATAGTCCATCTGCATTTTTGAGTCTTACAGTAGTTGTGTTTGCTAGTGCAGTGCTCCTTGAAGAGTATTACAGCTGAAGGCTAATGTCACCAGCTCTGGAAATAGGATGCATTCCCATGACTGCTGTGACCAAGGAGGCTTCTGTCCATTTATTTTTTGCTGTTCCACAGGGCAGCTCAGGAAGTTACTGTGCCAGTTGGTCCTTTTGTTTTCAGACCATATGATATACATAGTGTCCAGTTTTCTTGAAGTTAACACCATCTGATACTCACTTTCCAAGGAGAAAACCAGCATATCTAGCCTGGGAGAAGAACAATTGTATTTTTTGCAGGTCGAGGGAATCTTCATGGCAAGCAGAGACCATGGCAGCTTCCCTGTTCAGGAGAAATGGCACAAAAAACTCTTCACCTTTTTCTGAAGACATCTGAAGCAAGGCTGTGAGAGCCTGTGTGAAGCTGAATTACTTGGATAGATTGGTTCTGTAGCTGTAAGGTTTTTTTTTGGTGGAGATGCTTCAGTACATCTTCAGAAGGAGATGATAAGAGAAGTGGTACAATGCTGCAGCTTCTGAAGCAACTCAAAAGACTTCAAGAAACAGAGGTTTTCTTCAGGTTTGGGCAGCTAATTATGAAAATTTGTCGACACATCAGGCACTGTGAAATGTGCGTAAACACCAACTAAACTTAAACTGATAGCTCAGATGTTCAGAAAATCTCTGACTGTAGAACAGTTTATCCTGGATTGTCTTGCAAGGGAAGACAGTGACAGTGAACATACACCCTTGCTGACAAATGGGGAAGATTGCCTCTGAAAGTTAGTGCTCTATTAACTCATCATTCTACAGTTTCTATAATGAATCAAATTTGATTACAATCTTTATGTGTATTGGGGAAAAAAAGGCAGTAAAGCTGCATACAGGTTTGATTTGAGGAAATTCTCTTTAAAATTTGTCAAAATCAGAGAAATAGTGTCTGGAATGTAATTAATTTGCAGTGAGCACATTGCGTTGCTTCAGGTGCTGGTACAATAGCAGCTGCAGTACTTGGCTTTCCTGGAGATGCAGGATGATCTGGAAAAGAAGAATTCATGTCAGTATAAAAGTGCAGGTAATGTTGAGAGTGGTGACAGGGAGGTTGTGGCAAAGCCATCCCTCTCTTACTGTGCTGTTTCTGTTCTCCATGCAGACTGCTGCTCTTGAAGTGCTGATTCTTTTACAAATATTTTGTGATAAACTTAGTGCAGCCAGTATGAAAGTAAGTCCAGAGAAATGTAGTGTGTTCCATAAAGAGCAATTTATTTTGAGCCTGGAGTCAGCACAGGGAGAGGTGTTTTTATCATTGGAGAGAAGGAGAAGCTGTGTAGTGCTGCCTCAGTCTGTTGACAGGAATCTCCTTTGCCAGCTTACTAATCTTAGAGAATCAGGACAAAAAGATGCAATGCTTTCAGTCTTTTTCTTTTCAGGCTTGAAAGGTTCTTGTTCCTGTTTGTGTTAGCTTGCTCATTTATCCAAGCCCCTTTGGCCACTGGTCACAGATGTTTGTGCTTTTGCTTTGGGTGTGGATTGGGTGTGAAAACAGAGCAGGACTGTCTTAAAAGCATGGAAGATGATTACAGCTGAACTCTGTGTTCTTGTAGGATAAATGGTTGTACCAGTTGAAAAGGATCCTGGCAATGGCTACAGCTGTGCAGCATTTTCATTTTGAGAAATGTTGTTTAAGGACAGCCACAATTCCTTGTTAGACTGGAAAAATGTGAAAGGTTGTTTTCCCAATAGCTGAAAAAATGCCAGGACCCTCAGGCCTGGGCACAAGCATAGTGGTACCAGTGCCCTACAGAGATGAGTTGCTCTTGCAGCAGCTGAGTGGGAATGGCTGTCCAGGCATGCTCAGGAGGAGATGCCAACCCCTGTGTAATTGACAGGAGGGCAAATGTTACAGAGGAAAAGAATTCTCAAAAACACTAGCATAAGATGTGATTAGAAAACCCTTGAGCAAACAGAGGCACCTTACTAAGAAATCTGATTCCATTACTGCCAAAGGCATTTTCTGGCTGCATTGACTGAGGTGAAGTTCAGCAAATGATGTATCAAGAGGCACTGATTAGCTGGGCAGGCTGTGGCTGTCTCAGAATGTCAAGACTGAAGCAGAAGCAGGATTTCTGTACAACAAAAAGTTGGCAGAATACAGAAAACTGCTGAAAAGAAATACTGTGTTTTCATTGCACAGGAGGCCTTCTGTGAGACATGGGAATCTCAGGGAGTAGTTCTGGGACAAATATGAGTAGCAGTGGGCTGCTTTTTAAAAGTTTAAAAGTCATATAATTAGGAACCAATGAATAGCAGGAATAATGGAGAGACAAAGATTGCAGTGAGCTGGTTCTTTATGCTGAGAGTATCAGACCAAAAGGAACATCATCTTCAGAGGAATCCACAGAATTTGTGTCACTGTTAGAAATGTGCAAAGATTGTTTGGGGCTGGAAGGCAGAGTCACAGCAGAGGCTGGAATGGGTTTGTGCTGCTGGTTCCTTTGAACTGTTTTCTTCAGGGCACTTCTGAAAAAAGCAGGAATTTTCAGGGAAGCCTGTGCCTGTGGAGCTCAATTGATGTAAGAATGCAATGAATTCAATGAATGGAGATAAGCATTTTTAGTCCTTATCAAATAATTTTATCGGGGCTCTTCATTTAGAAGATAAAATGGTCTTCATCTTTAGAATGCTTTAGTCTTGGTAGCTTCAGAAGACAAAGATATATTTGCTTTGCTGTAGCTGTGAGCAGCAGCACAAGAACTCTGTATTTTCTTGTCTTCTAACAAAGTGAACTTGTTCTCTGGAGCAAACCCTGATTTTCCATCACTTCCCATAACTTCTCCCACCATATGTTTCTTGCTGCAGATGGACTGATACAAAAACAAATACAGGATTAATACAGGAAGGTGTAAAGGGGACTTAAACCTAAACCACAGCACTTCTCAGGGGAGGATTAACACACTTTCCTCAATCCAAACCACCAAACAAACCACCCTGCCAGCAACAGGCTCACAGCAAAAGTCACAGGGAAGTCTTTCTGTTGGAAGCAGAACATGGTCCAGCTTTGTTAAAAAAGTAACCTCTCTGACACTGCTGAGGGATGTTTTAAGGAACAGGCCTGGAATGTGAGAGATTAATTTCACTTGTGTTGCAGAAAGGATCACTACTACTTAATGAAGACTTGAAGAAGGGGTTTTTTTACGCACACAAAAAAGTTTCTCTGTTAGGCTTCTGATCTAGAAATGTATCACTTTCTGTGGTAATCCCTTCCTTAGGACTGATAAAATTGTATTTTGTGAGACTAAGAGCTTATATGTTGTCTGAAATGTTTCAGAAGTTGTATTATTTAATGCAATTACAAGGTTGGTGATGGCAAGGACTAGTTCCAAGCATACTGTTTTAATAGTTAGGAGTACTGGGGTTTGTACAAGTCTAGGGTTTGCTTACCATGAGTGGCTTGTTCTCACAGGCACCTTTATGCATGGCTCTTGGATCCTTGTAAAGAACCTGTATCTCTGGCAGCTGTGTCACCATGATCTTTGGCAATAGTAATGAAAAACTGCTTCCCCCTTGAAATCTTACTCTTTCTTAAGTACCTCTATAAAGGCTGTTTGCAGGTTTTCCAGCTGTGCTGCTCCAGCAGAGAGCGCTTTTGTTACTGTTGGCACAGAGCCTGTTGAATCATCTGCAGCTCAGCTCCACTCTACAGAACCCAATTCCCTTCTAATTTTCTTTCTAATGCTTGGTTAAGTGGCTCTTGAAACAGTACACATCTATTTTGTTTACTTTCTTGATATCTTGCTGTATACAAAGGCATTTTAAACTGCTTTTGCTCTGTAAATTTCACATGATTTTTGAAGGCTCTGTGGGGAGATTACCATAATCCTTTCTCTTTAAAAAAATCTTATGTTGATAGGTCATGATGAAAAAAAAAATATTTGGCACACTATTTAAGTCAATGTGTTTGTCTCAACAAAGCAGTGAAAATCAATATGAAAATAATGAATGGTTAAATGTCATGCTAAATGTCTATTTCAGACAAACTACTGCATTTCAAAGTTTCTAACTTAGAAAAGCCTAAAAAGGGGTTT